CCAAAATTTTTAGTTCATCCGCAAAGAACTGTAATTTATCTTGTGTCAACAAATAGAACTTTTGTTCTCACAATAGTTGGAACACAGTACAGCAGTGTTCAATATGTTCACTGATTGAATTTGAGTAAATTATTATGTCACCGAGGTATGGGTCTATCCATTTTCCAATGTACAGACCGAACATGTGACACATGGTCATCTGCCATGTTGCAGCGGCATTTTTGTCACCTTGGCACATAACCCGGCTCTTCATCACACCATCTGGCATAATGATCAAGTTCTTCTCCTCATCGGCTGGCTCGACTCTCATCTGTTCATATGCATCTCGACCATCCACTAGGGATATGAACTTATGGCGAGCAACTCGATCCAGTATAGCTTTAATGTCTGGAAGTGGTGAAGACATCGGCACCGTGTTCTCATTGATTTCCCGTTTGTCTATGACTGTGCAGATGCGGACTTCTCCATTGGGTCCAGGTTTCTTCTTGAGTACTAACAACGGCATTCCATTAGTGCCATTATAGTAGACCCAATGACCGGATTTCAGCATTACATCACACTTCTTCTCCCATAGCAGTCTCAGTGGTTCCGGGCACATTGCTCGGCGGAATCTATAGATCTTCTTATCATCCTTGAGTGGGATTCGGTGATTGATATCTCGTAAAGGAGGCAGTGGGGTTTCATCAAATGCTTTACAGAGGTGTATTGCTTCGTTCCTCAACATCTCTCATAACTTTTCCAAATCTTGGCTAATTATCGCTGATCTCACGGAAGGAATCACCACGGAGTCTTCTTTCTTTAGGGATAGTGGGTTTTCAGATCCGACATGTAGGTGTGGCAGGTTCAGGCCTAACAGCACTGAATGTTGATATAGGAATGGAGTGCCTAAGATCACATCATAGTCATGAATGTTCATGATGTCGAATCGTTTCTTACAATCAATGTCCTCGTACTTGAAGTCTACAATTGCTTTGAGTTGGACGTTCACTCTAGATCCTGTGACTGCAAGTTGTACTGGAAGGACCGTAGATAGTTTCGTACTCGGGATCTTCAGTTGGTCCACACAAGTGGTGGATATAAAGTTAGCTAGTGATCTGGAGTCCACTAACGTTCTACAGATACTACCATTAATGTGGGTTTTTATAACCATCCCTTTCGGTAGGATTCGCATGATGTCTTTAGGGATGGCTGTTGTACGCTCCAGGCTATCGGTCAGTTTTGTGCCCTCCTTTTGGAGTTTATCCCCTCTATACTTGGCAACGTTGGCTTCGATATAAGCCGTTCTAGGAATTGAAGCGCTAGCGCTTAAGGCATATATGTGTTGAGTGAGCTCATCTTCAATCATGTCCTCTAGGTTTCTGATGTTTACTGCGTGAGCACTTACACTAGGATTCTCTTTAGACACAGGGCAGTCTTTCACCAGGTGGCCTGACTGTTTACAGTTGAAGCATAAGCCTTTAGCCCATAGCTCCTCGCTTTCTTCCTTGGACAGTCTAGTCCATGAAGATCTGGGTTTATGCCCTCCATTCTTTTTGTCAGGATCCTTTCCTTTCTTATCATCAATCTGTTTGTCAGCTCTATCCTGATTTTCGCTGTGTTTCTTTTGTCCTTTCACGCTTTCAGGAACCTGCTTACCCTTCTCACGCTCATTCTGGCGATTCTGGGTTCGTTTACGACTTTCCTCATATTTGACCATCTTCTTTGAACGCTCTGCATTCATGGCGATAACCTTTAACTCATCTATTGAACCAGTGTCAGGACTAAACCCATAGTCCAACAGTTTGATACGGTAATATTGGTCTAGGCCATTGAACACCCTTTGTACAAATTGACGATCCATAATGTCATCTATCCTTTTTCTAATGCGATCCATGTCCTGTACGTATTCCTGGACAGTTGAGTTCCGTTGTGTCCAACGTTCAAAATGGTCACGTTGTATCTGTCTGAATTCTGGGGGAAAGCACTCGTCAAATAGTGCTTTAACAGCTGTGGTCAAGTTCCAGTCTTGTGGTCTTAATGCAATGGCCGATACATACCAAGATGCGGCTTTGCCACTTAGCATGTTTTGAAGATGCTTCACTTCATCCCTTTTCCGAACTTTGTTCAACTCGAAGTAGGTCTTCATTCCAGCAAACCAGACTTCGAATTTATTGTAGTTCGTGTCACCATTGTATGGTTCTGGACCTTTGACTTTTACTCGCGAACTTGTATGTTTTTCCTTTTTGAGTAAAGTTAATAGGAGACTGAGCTCGTTCCTTGAGCCCATCCTGTTCAGTTTCCCTAGTTTTAGTAGGTCCGAGTCATCAGTGTGGATGGTACTAGTTCTCTTTGATGAATTTGATGATGAGGAGCCGTCATTGCTGCTGTCATCGGAAGTGTCCAACGGAGTCAAGTGTTTCGCTAGGAATGATGACGGAGGTACGAACATTGAAGCTTTGGGTACCTTCATTGTTGCATGGTTCTGTACCATAGATTCAGTCTTGGATTTCCTTTCCTGCTCCTTGGGTGTCATTGATTCCTGTCTCGCAGCTTTATGTCTAGCTAGCCTACGAGATGCCAATGCATTAACAGTGGTCTCTGTGCTAGATCTCTCTTGTAGAATCCTCTGGGTCTGTATCTTCAGTTCATCAGACTCGCTATTGTTATCCAATTCTGTACTACTTTGTGGTCTGGCAATCGGGGTGGGTGATACTGAAACAGTTTCATGCTCTTTACCCTTCTTGGTAGAGGTGGAAGCTTCTGTGGCTTTAGTCTTTGTAGCTGAATACAGTTGTGCGCCACCTTCATCTGAAAGTGTATCTGTCCATAGGTCCGGCATTTGTGGTTTAGATTCATGCTTCACAACAAGTTCTCTGAAACGTAAGATCTTATTGAGTGCATGGTCTGGCATTGACAGTATATCAGATAGTGAGAGAGATTTCTTGTCAAACTCCACATATGAGTTCAGGTAAGACAAGGGATCTAGGGGGGCGATAGGGGTCTCTGGTGACAACTGTCGTTCTGTACTTAGGTCTTGTTCACTAACTATAGACATATCATCCTCTACCTGCAGGGAGAGAAAATTGACTTCTGCATAGTGGGCATCCTCTACCATAATATGGGAGGGAATAATCTCATCCGCCTTGTGGGCATCCTCTACCAATGTATGGGAGGGAATTACAGGGCTAGTCCCCGGAGCGGTATGTTCTTCGCTCTCTGAATCTGAAGAATCACTCACTGGATCTATGACTTGTTCGTCATTCTCTTCGGTCTGTCTGGCACCTAGCGTGCTTCCCAGCATCGTAGCTAGGTCACCTTGTTCGTTTTCTGTCTCAAGAGTAAGCTTGACAGCATCTGTCAACAAACTCCCGGTGTGTACAAGTTGTTCATCAGTCATCATTGGCTCAGGAGCCAATGTGTCTACTGAGAAGGAATGGTCACGATGACTCACCATGGGTACGTAACCCTTTCCACTTCTCAGTCTCATCATCTTTAGCTGCAGCTAGGTTGTGTTGTATGTGGAGGTAAGGGTAAACTTGAGGTGGCCAGCCTCAAGCTTTGAACTCGGCGTTAAAGGTTAGATCAAGGTAAATCAAGAGTGTAGGGATGTGAAAAAATGTGAGGAACCTCAAGATCAGCTGTCACCGATGGCTAAGTCCTTAAGGATTAACGAACTCACTAGGTCACTGAGAGAGTCACAGGTCCAAAAGGGCTTGATTTACGGGGTAAATACAAGAGGTTCTGTCTAACTAACAAAACTTGGATGGGTATATATATCCATCAGACTACTTATGTAAGCACACCGCTTACACTGTCATGGCGCTACTTTGTTGATGTGCATTAGTCCTTCAGTTTGATTCAGCAATAGGTTCAAGTTTAGCGCTACACAAACAAGAGGATCCTGGGGAAATCCCAACTGCCGCATCGGGGGTATTACCTGCACTGCAGGTCACTCTGCCTCCCCCATAATTATGTAAAACGTGCCACTTTTGCTTACGTGTTGTATTCCGCATTGTATTACCTGCACAGCCATCCAGGTGAAATTACACCATTTCTGCCACTTGTGCTGACATGTTCATTTTCCATTTAGGTTTCATGACCTTGTGACTTTTATATTTATAACGTACAATTGGTAGACAAATCAAGTGAGTCATGCTGAAAATCCAGTGAGATTGGCAAAACCCAACGTGAGCGTCACCTACGAATCTCTGAGGCTTGATTTTGGGCTCTTTTGGTAGAGGAGAATTAGATCTATCCACGTACCGAGTTTAGGGGTAAATGTGTCAGGGCACACACCCTGACTAGCCCGGACCTGGACCCGCATCCAGACCCGCTTCCACCCGCTGCGCTTCCCACATGCGTGCACGCTCCGCGCGCCGCATGCTCCGGGCCCGGTTCCTACTCCTTCATGTGACTTCCGGGTATCCCCGGAAGTTTTCCTGATATGGTGGCCACTGTGGGAAGATGAGAAGTTAGCTTCCTTCTCATCTTCTTACCCACAGTAGGTTGTGCCCTGGATAGGGCTGGTTATACCTCAGGGCTGTGGACCATAGGGGAGGGTCATGGGGACCCGGGAGTCGTCCCCTGACAAAATGCCCAACTACTTCAGGAGTTAATATGAAGAACTCTGCCCTTCACAATGTCAGCGCTTAGTCCAAGCACACCTGAATGCATGCCCAGCGCTTACCTGGCCAAAATTCCCCTTACTTGTATCTGCACCCCTACCTGCCTTACTCGTCGTGCTAGGCTGCGTCCGATGACACAGCCACAGCCTGCATCTGCTAAAATACTGTGTCGTACTCATGAATTGGCATGTCAGCCTGCGATGCGGCCCATTCTTGAAGGGATGCAGCAGACACATGCCCAACTGCGCAGCTCTTGGTCCAACCCCCCCACTGCTGCTGCACCCCCGCTTGCCCTGCCGCATGGGCGCTTTGGGCAAGGGAAGGAGATTTATTAGTCGATACTATTGACCAATTTTCAGTGAGCTTGTCTTATCCTCATTTGTACACTTGTCCCCTCCCCAAGTCGCTGTCCTGATGTCCTCTTTCTGCTCCCCATTTTCCTATTTGTTTCCTATTATCCGGAACACTTCCGCTATTGTCTCCACACACTTGACATAGCCCGATGCCATGATTCGGGATCTCTCCTGAGCATAGAACATCTATGCACTCTTTTTGTGTGGAATAATGATTTAATCATGGTTCACTTTTTTCTGTACAACTGACTAGGGTGTTGAAAAGCAGTGCAGGTCAGCGCGTGCGAAGGCACGCACTCTAGTTCAGAAATGGAGCGAGGATTTCGTTATGTATGGAGTGGCCAGAGTGAACCCTTTTTTGGGCAAACTGAATTAGTTTCCCCTCAACAATATTATTCAAGTCATCACCCGTCCTGAAGTCCAGAACCGACCCGAGGCGCGACAGTCCCGCCGCACAGCGTTCCTCGTTGCCAAAGTCGTCTCCTGTCAGTTCCCATGGAACCCAATCACCAAGCAATCCCAACACACTCGGAGGACTCAAAGGATGAGATCAGCTTGGAGAACCGCAAATATTTCCATATCAATGATTTGCCTGTAGAACTCTTGCGGGAAATATTCGTTACCTTGAAAGCCGACTGGAATGGGCACTATTCTTCTGATGGCTGCACCGTGGCTCATGTGATAACAAAGACTTGCCACTTCTGGCGCTTCGTGGCACTGAGCGAACCTCGACTATGGGCAACATCCATCATTAGATCCGAAGGTGGGAGTGAAGAAGGGAGGTTGCAGCGGTTTTTAGAGTGCTTGAAGAGATCCAAAGATGTGCACCTGGAACTAATGGTGAACTTCACGGGTGGCAAGAGATGTCCCAGTCCGGAGTTTCGCAGACGTGTCAAGGAGATCGCAACACCCCATCTTAATCGTTGCACCTCCTTGTACATCATCGATTTCGACTTTTGCCTTCCAAACGACTGGATCCCACTTCCCAACGAACTGAAATCGCTGAGAGATGCAGCGATAGCTTTGGATCCTGCGCTCCACTGGTCCCCACAGCCTCCTCACCAAACCCTGGATTTGGGCTTACCAAAGCACTTTCGCTATCTCAAACTTTATGCCCCGAGTCGATGCCTTCCAGTATTCACTTTGAATTCCGTGATGGAACATCTATCGATGTCGTTGAACGAAAAGGATATCACCAATCTCCTACGCGATGTTGAGCATTTGAAGACTCTGGAATTAGAGCCTATGACTTCCCAAAACCTTGTCATTTTACCTCATTCATTTCCCCAGCTTGAGAATCTCATCCTCCGTGGTGGGAGGGTTTCCTTTCCCATCGTGGCCCCGCGTCTCAAACACCTATATTGCCCCTCTTCACTCGATAACACAATAAAGAAGGATATTCTGAAGGGCCTCATCTCCTTAGAAGTTAGAGCATCTAACCTGCCGCAGGATTGCCTTGTTCACTGTCACGCGCTGGAATGCCTAGGAGTTTACGTCACAGCGGTCGAGAGTATTAGGATGCTGGAATCCCTACTTTCAACTGCGAGACCGCCAGGTCCAGATCTCCTACATCTCTCGGCATATCACTGCCCCAATCTCCAGAGAATAATGTTCTCGATCTATCTAAGACCTGATCCACAAGCAGTTGAATGTATTTCTAACCGCATCATTGAACTGCTTGCCCTCCGACCGCGTCTCTCAATGGTTGAAATCAGGATCCGCACAGAAATGCAGGACGCGTTGGATCTATCTCCCCTTACTAGGGATCTTCCGGAAGCATTCCCAGCCAGAGTGGTTGTTTGGGGCCCTGATACAACATTTCGCCGCTTCGGCCCGCCAATCTTTTTAAACCACATGAATGGATATCCCCACACCCTTCTGGTTCAGCGTCGAGCGCGTGGTTTCATCGTGCGCGAGATGCCAACACCTTCACGAGTTACCACATAACGCTTAATGTTAATGATTGTAGACTGCTGATCGCCTTCTTGTAACTGTGCTTATACATCAAGTTGAAAGAGGAATTTCATCCAAGTCAACAGCCATTCCCAGCAGCAGAGGTTTCCATCCCAGGGGTTCCCCTACATTTCGGCTTGGACCGAGAATCGCGCTTTTTCCTTCAAATCGACTTTGCTGTTGATAACCATGTCGACGCACGGTTTGTTACGGAACTAGCACAGTGCAATCGCTGATATCGGAAGAAGGTCATTTTGAAGGGCCTCAGCTCTTTAGAGATTGAGGACGCAGGACGGGTCTATGACCCACAAAGGGGCATTCGACCAGGGTTGCCTTATTCATTGCCATAAGCGAAGGAGAGCATCAAGTTGCTGGAATTCCTGCTTATTTCGCTGCGAGTCGGCCAGATTTAGATCTCCCACATCTTTAAGTGTACCTTGTATCCCGTAGAGCATAACTCCCTAACTGCTTACTTAAACTGCTTTCCATCCGAACGGCGCGCTTCTCAAAGGCTGAAATCACAATGAACGCGAGAGGGCACGGCACCCGCCCAGCCTGCTAGATTTATTTCCCCCTTTACTAAGGATCTTCTGGAGGCGTCTCCAACTAGAAGCTGTGGAATACGGTATGGGATTTCTCGCGTTCAGGTAGCCAATCTTTTTTTAGAACCCATGAATAACCCCCCGATACAACTTAAGTGTTGAGCCATGCGTGCGCGATATCGATGTTACTCCGAGCTAGGCCCACTTTTCCTGTCATAACACCGAATGATTGTAAAAATTAAACCCTTCTTGGGATCGTTACTGGACAGTATGCACATAGTATATTCATGTTCGAAAGTTGAGAAAGAAGAAAAGAAAATCCAACCAAGACGTTCCTTTTATTTTCTCTCTCCCCCCCCCCCCCTTTCTAATTCTAGTTCCCAATTAAAAACCGACTGTCACTATGTTCATTTCAAAAAATCGGTATACGTCGACCGCCACGCTTCCTTCCCTCCTGTCTCGATGACGTCCTGTCATGATCAACGAACATTCGCATCAGTCCACATATCCAGCAGACGGTACTTTAATTAACAATTTACTCACTCCATGACATGGTATTATCCTATTGAAATCCCAGCCATCAACGACTTTCGCATCTCGGCTCATGGCTCTGTACGGTGTTAAAAAAAGGCGCTCGTTAGGCTAAGCTCTGCTAATAATTTAATTATTTATTTTATTCTTACTTTCCATCTTTAATCGAAGCAAGCCAAAGAAACGCTCGTTGAAATCTTGTTCCGGGGCTCATGAGGCTATGGAACCAATTCTTGTAATCGGTGGGTAAACCGTTCTGTTCTCGAGCGGGGAGGTTCCAAAGGAGGTCTGCTACGAGGAGCGTGCGTGATGGTTTGTGGAGGATGGCTAGATCCTTGTTGATGAAAGAAGGGAAGAATTGGGTGGAGATGTCGGGAGGAAGTTGGCTAAAGGGAGGTGGATTGTTGGAGGTGTATACTTATAATATGATCGAGAGTGTTGCATGGTGGGGAGCCCCGAGAGATGTGTGTAAGGATTTCGTTTTATTTGGGGAAGGGATAGGTAAATGGTTGACTTACGATGGTCCCAGCGGAGGTGAGGTTTCCGCTTGTCGAGGGTTTCGACGCCTATTAGTTTCGCCTCTGGGTAGGCATTTTGGTACGATTCTAGTTTTAAAGGGAGACCAAGGGTGGTCTAATGTAAGGCGGTGCGAAGGAGCGATGACGCACCGACGAAAATAGTGTGCTCTTGAAAAAACTCAATCGTATTCATTTCAATTTCAAAGAATAACAGACACACACCAGCGTCAATGGCTATGATGTATCTACGAATAACGTCCGTTTCGACGTTGAGTGTCAATAGCCCTCTCATGCGAATCAGGATACGTACTTGACCTTTCCCAAACTCTCGATCGTTTCCTTGGTAGCCTGGTCAAGTTGCGTAGACGCAATCAGGAAAACATCTCCCGAGCTCAATCTGATAGCTGTCGAGCGTCCACCAATGGGGGCTCCAAAACGACGAAAAGGCCTTGAAGGGAATGGAGGGTTCAAGTGCCAGCAACACAGGCTGAAACGTAGACTATCTCACCTAGAAAAGGTAACCAATCCTGGAGCGATCTACAAGTTGACACTGAGCACGCTGACAGAGTGGCTTCTCAAGCACGTTGAGCCAGGAAACGACATATACCTCTCGGATGACAGTGCTCATCAATCAAATCAAAGTGATCTCGTTCTTGATGGCACTTCTTCTGGTTGATTGACTGGACTTGCTTCCGTTCGGTAAAGGGACTGGCAGTGTTTGTCTAACTTCAACTAGTCCCACAGCCTCCTCGTTCCGTGTGCGGGTTCGGATTTGAATCCCCGGCTTGTTTGATGGGTTGGAAGATGTTTCGCCAAGGTCAGGGACAATTCAGTATGGGGATTGGGATTGAATTGTAGTGGCAGTGAACCCATTTTGATACAATTGCCCATTTTTAGGATGGACACAGCCCCATTTTCAAATCACACAAGTGAGAGCAAACAGTGCTAGACAACGAAGAAAATAATCAGAAATTCAGGGTTAAGCCTGGGGTGCTGATTCAGCGGCACAAGATGCGGTTGGTGGACCTGACTCGTTCTGGGATACGTGGAACAAATGAGAAGCGCCCTACAGCCACAATACCATTATGTAACCTCGTGCCAAGGTACAAGGGCTCTTCTTCCGAGTTGAATAGTACTTCCTTTTTCGGCGACCATCCGCATCCTTCCCTTCCGCCTCGCTTGCCGTGAGTTATCTTGCCCCCTCCGCGCTTTTCCCTTCTCCAACCTCCCCCGCCTAACCTAACCTAACCTCCCTTCTTCCGCATAGTTTATCATATTTGCCTGACAGAGGCGAGTAAAGGGTGTGTGGACAAAAGTGATGGCAAGGATCTTTTCCTTTCCCTGGGCGCTTCGTGCTCTTTTGCTCGCTCTCTGTGCTCGGGTCAGTTTAGCATGTACGCTCTACACCCCAAGTACGTCGCAGGGGATTACAGATGAAGTCCAGTTCCAAACCTCCTGGACGGCGTGCACCGTGAGTGTTCTACTTGTGTCATCAACCTTGCGGGACGAGTTCGACTGATCTCACTTTTCCAATCCATACCCTGCGTGCGCATATTGCTGTGTTTTCGGAATTCCCAACACGTTTGTGTTGTGCTCTGGTTTAGCCTCCCGTTACGATCCAATTTTGGGATAAAGATACCAACACATTGTTGACGAGTTATAGTGGTTCAGCGTCAACGGTCTACTTGTGCGTTAATCAGCTCTGTTATCACTTTGGGGTGATGCCCATAGCCGCACATCTTACTTATTCCATGTCATATCGCGCAACAGCACCATCCATAATGGTGCAGGTGTAACGGTGTACTTTGTCTTGATAGACTCTGCAGGGTTGAAAGCGACAAGTATCTCATACGTAGTCAAGGTTCGTTAGCAGCACTTCCTACTTGTTTGTCCCGTTCTTGTGCAGTTATCTGATAAACTTGTTTTTTTTTTTTATCACGATGCTGTAGCCTAATCTAAGTCTGAGTTCAACTTCATCGCCAACTTTTCCCCCGGTTAGCCTATTTTTTTTTGGCCAATAGCTTGGGTGAAACCTTGTTGACGTTATCGGTCATTCTCTCATTAGAGTACCCGGGTGATCTCGACTTCGGACATTGCTTTGGTGCGTATTCCGTTCCCCAGTCCCAGTGTGGATGAAGGGATAGATAACATTCTGACGATCTGGCCCTTAGCTTTCGCTACAATCTGTCTCCATTCTTTCAGTGAACAGCGTCGCTTCAGTTTCTTCTGAGGTCAGTGGTTCTCAGCCCCGTTTCTGGCGAAAAGAATATAGCTGAGCTCACACCGTTGGGTTTTCTGTTCCATGCTGCACTTCAAATAGTCTGTGAACAGCCAGACGACGACGCCCGAGACGACGTCACCCGATAGCACGACAACCCCAACCACAAGCTCATCACCTACATACACAAACCCATTTCCTTCGAACACAGGTTCCTCACCCACTTCTTCTTCTTCCGCTCCTGGTAGGAGTACATCTCAATCAGTGCCCACACGATCCATTCCTCCAGGGTCCAGCACTTCTACAAGCTCCTCTTCCAGTTCAACTACGACATCTTCGGGCGGCGGCTCTTCCCACGTAGGACTTATAGCGGGTGCTTCCGCCGGAGGTGCCGTTGCACTTGTTATTGTGGGATCCCTCATCGCTTTCCTTATTAGGAAGAAGAACCAAGATAATCTTGAAGACTACATGGATCAACAAGGTGATCCCGCCCCTATCCTTCGAGTCCCTCCCGGTACGGGTGGGAACGTTGGCGGTGGTAATGGCGGATCGGTCGGGACTCCAGGATTGTATGCTGCTCCTTTGGATCCGTATGCTCCCGTTACGACCGGGGCGTATAACCCACAGGCATATCGTCCAACGAGCGGCGGTAGTGCGGAGGGTTGGAATGCAGCTGGTATTGGAGCTGCTGGGGTTGCAGGAGGCTATGGGTCTGGATTCCCTCAACATCAACCAGCGGATGCAGGAGCGGCGATTGGAGTAGCGTTCCTCAATGATAACACTTCACCCACTGGGACGACGTTCCCCCGTCATAGTCAACCCCCGACGATAGCGTCAAGTCCTCCGCCTAGCATCCCACTCAATCCTGAGGAGAGATTGAACGCCGCGGTGGGCAGTGGCCAGCCTCGTCATGGCGCTGGTGGTGCTGGTGTTGGAGTGTCAGATCAACCGGCTGGATATGAAGGGCAGGGTCAGGTGAGACCCGGTCCGGTCGATCACACTGCGCAGGGGAGCTACAGTGGGTTACCTGAGGTATAAGGGTTGATAGGTTGATAGGTTGGAAGGGGGGGGGAAATGATACTTATGTATTCATGTTGTTTCTCCTGGGACTTCTTTTATTATTTCGGTTGGAAGGAGGGGTTGGGTGGTGGTTATTTTGGCCCCACTGATGCTTGTCCGACCCCATTTTTCTCATTTCTCCACCAGTTAGTTGTTCTTCAATATACTGTCATTCTTTACTGTTTCTTTTTTTGCCTCTTTTTGGCTAGTTTTTTTTTGGCTCACATAATCGCCTGTCCTTTCCTGGTGTGTGTGTTTGGTACCAGCGTTACACGGTCTACTTAACCGTGCCAGTACCGCTCACCGATGTCTGCGATTGCCGTCGGCTCTTGAATCATGTGCTCACATCATTACCTTAATGTTCGGTTTGCACATTACTCACATAATTGGACAATGACAATGTCAGGAATTGAGTTGCTCTCAGTGCTAAGTAACTACATACTTTGCTGAGGTGGTTTTACAAGTAATTGGGTCTAAAAAAGAGCTGCGTTACAGTTTAAAAACGACCAGAAATGGTTATTTCATCACATGCGTTATCCATCTCATCCGGTTTGCGCAACTTCTTCACATGCCGCCCCCCGGCCTTGACCTTTTATGTGGCCCCTCTGACTGTCGCATGCACGATCGCATGCACGTTTCCTGGTTACGTTAACACCATATTTCACCTTCGCGTTCTTAATCCCGATCGGTGTTTCTGGAAAAGCGGAGAGTTTTTAGCTATGACAGAGATGTCGATGTCCAACGCGCGCGCCTATGCACTCTAAACCATTCCACATGAGTCGTTCGGTTTCAATATCGTGTTGGTCTTTCTCTCACTTCATTATCGTTCGGGTGCAAGTCGTTTCCCGGTTTCGAACCTGTCTCATTGGACCGCTCTTGGACCGCTGATCTCTAGTGTAACTTCCTCCAGATTCTGTCACTAGATATCATCCTCTTCCGTCGCTCCAATCATCCTCACTCACATGCGTTGTGCAATGGCTTCGCGCAGCTGGATCCGCGTTTAGTACCGTTTCCAGTTCTTGGGTCACTTAGGTTTCCCGCAAAGTCTGCGATAACCCTATCAGGATGTGTACACCTTAAATGTTCGTTCGTTCTTCGTCTTCGCATCCCCCTCCAACATGGCTCAGGCTCTGACCTTACGTGCCAATTTTGCTAGGTGAACACAGTTCCTGATTTAAGGAATGGTCGACTGCACAGCGAGCTACTCATAGGTTCCTTCCTACTGTCTTGTCCTCATTACTGACTTATCTCAGCAACGGATATCACTGATGCTCTCGCCGTCCCCTTCGAAGTATATGTTCACGGGCCAACCGGAGGAAAACATGCATCTCGATTCCGAGATCAACGTCATCTTCGACATTACTGGTATCACTTCTGCAGTTGAAGTCCGCGCTTTCACCTTGACTGCCTGTTCCTTCGACACTGCGGTTAGTTTTATCAACGATCCAATACATTTAACTGACAAAATCCATCGCGTCATTCAATTTCCCGTTTCGATTCTGATATCGAGACACACACCCCAATGTACTTCGATTTGACCCCAAGGACTTGGGTAATCTTCACTCGCCCGATCCTCTCAGCTCTCTTGGGAACACTAAAAAACACAGCCTGTTTAATCGGCAGATGAATCCCAAGCAGACCGCCGCAGAGCCATCCGAACCGATTGCCTCCACTAGTGTGGCTCCTTCTGTTACGGCAGGATCTAAACACGCTGCGACCAGTTCAGAGCCCGATACTTCCTTTGTGAATCTCTCTTCTACCTACGACAATGATTTGGCTGAATCAGACGACCATCCCGATTTCAGTAAGCCCCAAGAACGAGCGAAGAAATAGATTCATTGTTTGTGTCGCGATTCCCATTATAGCGATTTGCTGTTGTCTATTTATTTGTTTGTGCCGAGATTTTATATATACCTTGGAGTAGTTGTAAAGGCAGCCTTTTACCTCTACCCCATTGATATAATTAGATGGATACTTGAGGCACGGGGCCGGGGGAACGGAACAACATCGTCCCCAACCGTAAGCACTTCATTAGGCCTGAACCCTTAAAGGCCTAAAACGAAATCTTCGGCGAAACCCGAAAACGGTTTTTTTAGTTCCCCCGTTCAAACGCGACTTCAACCACTTGGATCATTCCAACGACAATGTCGCCCACCCTTGATCTATCAACTTGGTCTGGTGACCAACTGGTCGAAGACTCCGAGGACGAGGAGTCACTCGGGGTCGCAAAGTTGGTGGAGCGCAAGCGACGCCGACAGGAGAGGAAGGCGGAAGAGCAGAGGAAGCGGGAGGAAGCGGCGGCAGCGCGACGAGCTGCCGAGGAGCGGAAGCGGAGGGAGCGAGAGGAAAAGGCAGCTGCGGCAAGGCAGGTGAATAGGGCGTTTTACCAACATCACCAGGGGATCAGGAATGAGGAAGCTGATCGTTTGGTCATAGCACAACTCTGTCGCGTCGGTGCTACCGACAGCGCCGGCAAAGATGCCCTCGTGTGCCCGATGTATCTCGCGCGGCCTGAGGTGCGTCCCGGCTTCCGGAAGATCCACGTCATGTATGGTGTGTAGGGGGCGAGGGTACGCTGCGTGCGCCCAAACAAACGCGTGGAGATGGAGTCGCCCGTGCCTGCGAGGAAACGAGTAAGGATGGAGTCTGAGGGATCGGGGGTGCCTCAGGAGGAGGCAGAAATGGGGCGTTTGGTTGCGCACATCGCAGGCTCGCTCGCCGAGATCAGCGAGGCAACTCGCTCGCTGGTTGCCCTGTTGGGGCCAATCCTGGCTCCAGCCACACGCGTGGAAGATACCAGCAGGACGGACGCCGGGGGAACCGCGGAGGAGGAGGCGGAGGCGAACGCGATGGTTGATCAGCTGTCTGAGGACCAAGACAACGGGATGGAAGGAGGATCGAAGATCGAGCGGACGACATTGCTGCCAGTACCGCCGTCCTTTCGTTTTAACATGTAATTACTCCTCTTGTCTTGTAGTAAGTATATATACGAGTACCCAACACCTCCGATTTGGAAATGATGCATGCAGTCAAACAGACTTTCGGGGTCTACGGTAGGAACTAGGATGTGTGATGCGGGCGAGCCCTCCAAGAACACAAAAAAAGGAAACATATCAAGGACAACCCATGAAGAGATTAGAAATAGTTTAACACGCATCAGTCCCCTTGGGCCAAATTACTTTAGAGGCAAGAAACCCAAGCAAAGGATTTGGAAAAGCATCACGACTATACTTTATTATACTTCAGATAATCCATTCTAGCCCTCCTGTGTGGTACGCTTGCCCTTGCACTTTCATATATATCTATCTGGTCACTCGGAATGATCTGAAACGCTGGAATGATCTCTTCCCGTTAAAGAGAGGCTGGTCACCTGCCTATGGAACGAGGACCCGACACTGGCGTCGAAGCAGGCTAGGAATCATGGGGTTAATCCCACGCCTACTACTGGGATGGAGGACTTGGTGCTAACGTCAAAAGCAGGCTGGGGATCCTCACGGGGAGGAGCTGCAGGCGAAGTGCTACTGGGAGGAGAACCCAACGCTGGCGTCGAAGCAGGCTGTGGTTGATTCCGACGGGGGGGCACGGTGCCTCAAGTAGGTGAAGTGCTAGTATCCTCATCAGGTTGGGTTGCTTCCGCGTCCACTGGTTGAGGGAATCCATACCCAGGCCTGGGGCTAGGTTAAAACTGAGTACCTGAGTCAACGCTAATTAAACTCCCGTTGTGACACTGTCACCACTCCGTGGACGATATATATGACGGCAGATCGTGTGGCTCCGTCGCATTGGGAGCTTCCAGATCCAGAGGAGCATCATCCAACCCGGGAGTACCGAGCGTCCTGCCATCACCGTCGTTCGTCGTAGCAGGAGGAAACCGTTAGAGCTTGCAGTCCGACGCCAAATGCTCACGGGTAACTTCATGCACGTTGTACTTACTGCTCACAGCTTTGTGTTTGCTTTGCCTTTGTTCTTTTTCCACGTTGTGATCATTATGTACAGCACCCCACCCAGATATATATATATAGATAACAAGAATTTTACTAAGAGCACGATATCTCACTGAACGTCGATATCGCGCTGCTTAGACCTCGGTTGTGCCACTTTAACAGGAACCTGAAGTAGGTCCATAAGCATGTCACAAAAATCCTAAAGCATACCGTAAGGGACTTGAAGCATATCGCGGGAATCTTGAAAACGTATCACCAACGTCCTAATTATCGCGAGGGACTTCTTGTGGCGTATCACGGGAATCTTGAACCGTATCACCAATGTCCTGAAGTATGTCGCGAGGGACTTGAAGCACATCACGGACGACATCTTGAAGGGTATCGCGAGTGTCCTGAAGCATGTCGCGAGTGACTTGGAGCCCATCATGGACGACGTCTTGAAGCGTATCACGAGTGTCCTGGAGCATGTCGCGAGGGACTTGAAGCCCATCATGGACGACGTCTTGCAGCGTATCGCGAGTGTCCTGAAGCATATCGGGAGGGACTTCAAGCGTATCACGAGCATCTTGGAGCGTGTCACGGACATCTCGGAGCGTATCACCGGCATCTCGAAGCATATCACGAGTGTCCTGAAGCATGCCGGGAGGGACTTCGAGCGTATCACGAGCATCTTGGAGTGTGTCACGGGCATCTCGAAGCGTATCGCGAACGTCCTGAAGCATGTCGCGAGGGACTTGAAGCGTATCTCCGGCATCACGAAGCGTATCACGAGTATCCTGAAGCATGCCGCGGGGGACTTCGAGCGTATCATGGACATCTCGAAGCGTATCGCGAGTGTCCTGAAGCATGTCGTGAGGGACATGGAGCATATCACGGGTATCATGAAGCATGTCACGAGTGTCCTGAAGTACGTCACGAGGGACCTCCCGAAGCGCATTGCGAGCGTCTTGAAGCATGTCGCGAGGGATTTGAAGCGCATCTCCAGCATCTCGAAGCATATCCTGAAGTATGCTGGGAGGGACTTCAAGCGTATCACGAGCATCTTGGAGCGTGTCACGGGCATCTCGAAGCGTACCGCGAGCATCCTGAAGCATGTCGCGAGGGACTTGAAGCCCATCATGGACGACATCTTGAAGCGTATCACGAGTGTCCTGAAGCATGTCGCGAGGGACTTGGAGCGTATCTCCGGCATCACGAAGCGTATCACGAGTATCCTGAAGTATGCCGTGGGGGACTTCGAGCGTATCACGGACATCTCGAAGCGTATCGCGAGCGTCCTGAAGCATGTCGTGAGGGACTTGGAGCTCACGGGTATCATGAAGCATGTCCCGAGTGTCCTGAAGCACGTCGTGAGGAACCTCTCGAAGCGTATCGCGAGCATCCTGAAGCATGTCGCGAGGGACGTGGAGCATATCACGGGCATCATGAAGCGTATCACGAGTGTCCTGAAGTACGTCGCGAGGGACCTCTCGAAGCGCATTGGGAGCGTCCTGAAGCATGTCGCGAGGGATTTGAAGCGCATCTCCAGCATCTCGAAGCGTATCCTGAAGTATGCTGGGAGGGACTTCAAGCGTATCACGAGCATCTTCTAGCGTATCACGAGCATCTTGGAGTGTGCCACGGGCATCTTCAAGTGTGTCGCGAGCGTCCTGAAGCATGTCGCGAGGAACTGGAAGCGCGCCTCTGGCATCTCGAAGCGTATCACGAGTATCCTGAAGTATGCCGGGAGTGACTTCGAGCGCATCTTGGAGCGTGTCACGGGCATCTCGAAGTGTATCGTGAGCATCCTGAAGCATGTCGCGAGGGACTTGAAGCCCATCATGGACGACGTCTTGAAGCGTATTACGAGTGTCCTGAAGCATGTCGCGAGGGACTTGGAGCGTATTACGGGCGTCTTGAAGCACATTGTGAACGAGCGTATCATGGAGGGCCGTGTCACGTGCATCTCGAAGCGCATCGCGAGTGTCTTCAAGGATGTCGTGAGGGACTTGAAGCATATCAGAGGCATCATGAAGCTTATCACGAGTGTCCTGAAGCATGTCGCGAGAGACTTGGAGCGCATCTTGAAGCACATTATGAGTGTCCTGAAGCATATCGCGAGGGACTGGAAGCGTATCACGGGTATCTTGAAGCGTATCATAGACGTCTCGAAGCGTATCACGAGTGCCCTGAAGCATGTCGCGAGGGACTTGGAGCGTATTACGGGCGTCTTGAAGCACATTATAAGCGAGCGTATCACGAGCATCTTGGAAGGCCGTGTCACGGGCATCTCGAAGCGTATCGCGAGTGTCCTCAAGGATATCGTGAGGGACTCGAAGCATATCAGGGGAATTATGAAGCTTATCACGAGCATCCTGAAGCATGTCGCGAGAGACTTGGAGCGCATCTTGAAGCACATAATGAGTGTCCTGAAGCGTATCACGAGTGCCCTGAAGCAAGTCGTGAGGGACTTGGAGCGTCTTATGAGCATCTTGAAGAACATTATGAGCGAGCGTATCACGAGCATCTTGGAGCTTGTCGCGGGCACCTCGAAGCGTATCGTGAGTGTCCTCAATGATGTCGTGAGGGATTTGGAGCGTCTTATGGGCATCTTGAAGCACATTATGAGCGAGCGTATCATGAGCATCTTGGAGCTTGTCGCGGGCACCTCGAAGCGTATCGTGAGTGTCCTCAATGACGTCGTGAGGGACTTGCAGCATTTCAGGGGCATCATGAAGCTTATCACGACCGTCCTGAAGCATGTCGCGAGAGGCTTGGAGCGCGCCTTGAAGCACATTATGAGTGTCCTGAAGCATATCGCGAGGGACTGGAAGCGTATCGCGGGCATCTTGAAGCGTATCATAGACGTCTCGAAGCGTATCACGAGTGCCCTGAAGCATGTCGTGAGGGACTTGGAGTGTCTTACGGGCATCTTGAAGTACATTATGAGCGAGTGTATCGCGAGCATCTTGGAGCTTGTCATGGGCACCTCGAAGCGTATCGCGAGTGTCCTCAAGGAAGTCGCGAGGGATTTGAAGCATATCAGGGGCGTCGTGAAGCTTATCACGAGCGTCGTGAAGCATGTCATGGGGGACTTGAAGCATATGGCGGGCATCTTGAAGCGTATCACGGGCATCCTGAAGCACACTATGAGGCGCCTGAAGCATACCACGGGCATCCTGAAGCATATCGCGAGTATCCTGAAGCATACTCTGACGGGCATCTTGAAGCATATCACGAGTATCCTGAAGCATGCTCTGAGGCGCCCGAAGTACACCACGGGCATCCCGAAGCGTATCACGGGTCTCTTGGAGCATACCACGAGGAGCCTGAAGCATCTCACGAGTGTGCTGAAGCATATCGCGAGGAGCATGAAGCATATCACGAGTATCCTTGAGCTTATCCCGAGTGCCATGAAGTATACTTCGAGGGAGTTGAAGCATAGCGGAAACCTGAGAAGGGCCATGCTGTTGGTCTACGGTAGGTGCCGGACTCGATGCCGTCGTCGGAGCAGATTGGAAATCAGATGGTTGACCCTGACCGGGAAGTGTAGCCTGAGTGGGTGAAGTGATACTGGGGGAAGGACTGGACGGTAGCGTCGACGCCGGCTGGGGATTAGTTGGTTGACCTCGAAGGGAGCGCAGTCCCCGAGCAGGTGAAATGCGATCATTCTGACCAGGGCGGAGGAATGCTGCTCCCGCACTCACAGGTTGAGGAAGTGTGGGTTCGGGTCCTGGGGGATCCTGAAAGAGAGCAGAAGGGCCAACTTCGTGGTCCGTAAGGCCCTCGAGTCCCCCCTGAGCACCTCTCTTAGCAAGCCCAACAAGGGAGGTTGCCAACAAGCCTAGCGCAGCAATCCCTCCTACAGTAGCACCCGCTATAAGTCCTGCGGGAGTGGACTTGTGGTTCGAAGGTGTCGGAGTCGAACTGGAAGAGGTGCTTGTAAAAGTTGGGGGCCCTGGAAGAACGGGTTGTGGGGTTGTTGTGGTGGAAGAAGAGATGAAGGTGCTAGTGTGTGAGGAGCGCGTGCTGGAAGGAAAAAGGTGTGTGGATGTGCGCGGCGAGCTTGTACTAGTTGTGGTTGCTGTGTCTATGTCTACACACGTAGTCGTCTGATAGGAAAAGGATCATACGTCAACAATGTTCTGCCTGGGGATTGGCCAGGTGAGAGCTGACCGAGCGCGGAGCTGGCGGTGAACATCCAAGATCCAGATCCAGCTATGAGAAAAAAAAAACCATTTTAGACAGCGGCGCGAAAACGGAACAAATAGGCGGAGGCGCCTCCCACGAACCTTAATAACCAATTGGATGGTAGCGGGAATCTGTACCAAAGGACACAAACGCGACGCACGCGACCGGTTCGGGAGACAGCAATGCGCCCATACAAGATACGATTCGAAAGTATTAGGATTAGTCAAACTGATCCTGAGGGGTCGATACGCAGGACTCACGGTGCAAGGGGCATGGAAATGGAGTCCGTCCGTAATCACTTCCACTGTGCTTGGGGTGTACACCGTATACGCTAAACTAATCCGAGCACAGAGCGCAAAAAGAAGGGAGCGAAGGGCCCAGGGCGAGGAAGGGAGCCTTGCCATTGCTGTGTCCAGTAGCTTTGTTCTTTGCTTGCCACCGTCAGGAAGTGGTAGACTCGACAGCCAAAGAAACGTTATGGAGGTAGGAGATATTAAAGGCGCTCTCAAAGATTCCGAAAATCAAATTCCATCCTGACAGTGGCAGATCCCCGCGAACAAACTCCCGTGTTACATAACGAAAGAAGATAGCACTTAGTCAAATTCGGTTCATTGTTGAACACTACGAACAAAGCAGCAGCCCTCTTTGTAAAGGAGTCTATGTCGTTGACAGAAAAGTTGGTCCGCCAGCAAGTTCAATAGACCAGAACTCTTGAGCAAGGAACGAGTGCCAGAGCAAGTGCCATGAGCCGGCCCCTTTCGGCGGACGGATGAATCATGATGGGATGTCAATGGATGGTTTAATTTAAGTAGTACGTAACCGTGCCTGTCGGATATCATATACGACGCCGCCGCCGTGCTATCAGTGAATCAAATGATGTCAACTTTGAACTTGAGCGTGTGGGATGGTGTTCACTGGGAGACCGTTCAGAACGGAGCAACACTATAAACTTTAAAGGCAATGAGAATGAATCGCTGCACCAGAGAAAACTGATAGCAAGGGGAAAGCGAGAGTCTAATTTGCTCAAATTAGAAGGTTGTTCCTGACTCACGTGCCACTTGTCTGATCGGTGTAGTCGAGTTGGCCGAATCTGTTTGTCTATTCATATTGATTCAATTAATTAAAGTTGATATTGTACATGTCCGGCGCTTAGTCGTAGCTACTCCCACTCGAGAACCACTGACACCCGTATACCAACCAGACTACGCCAGACTCGACTCCATGTGTTTCCATCATGGGTGGCATTTTTCGATTCAAACAGAAATGAACCATCTAAAGGACAGAATCTCCCGAGTATGTAAGCAAGGAAGAAAGGAACTGGATTCGCTTAGTTCGGAGAAGTGAACGGTCATTCAATGCTTCCATGGACCACTCTGGGATTGGCAAAGGTACACTAGCTTCAGCGTTTCGCAACACTGTACCTGCTTGAGCGTAGCATGGCACTAGTACCTCGACGAGTTGCTCTCCCCTGGCTTGAATCCCCTCTGACAGACAGTTCTCGGAGAACTTCAATATCTTGCCGCATGTTACCCTTGAGCCCAACGAATGACATACAGCGTTTCATTTGCGCGGGGTTCGAGCGCCGGCGCAAATTGGAGCCGGGTTCTTGTTCCTCGCCCAAATGTTCTAGTCTATATATATATTGCATTTGCCGATCGCACGCTCCCTGATCGGTGGAGTTTCGACTTTCATCAACCGCACTCCTTGCAATGAGGCCGCTTCTTTACTCGTGCATAGTATCCGTTGAATTTGATTTTCGAAATCCATACATAAAAACACTTCTTTACTCATGCTCCTACAAGCTGCATCTCCGCCCCCCCCCATGCCTCCACAGCCTTCAACCTTCGTTTTGCTGGTTCTGTCTATCGCATTGCCCCACAGAAGTGAGCAATGAACAAAGCAGGCGGACATAGCGATATCAAAGCTCTTATCCTTCCCCGGGCCCTTTCTGCCCATCTTTTCATGCTCTGTATTCGGGCGCGTACGATGAGCCCTCCCCGAAGAGATTACGTTTGGAGTCTCGTTCCAAGTGTCATGGGAGTCCTGTCTATGCATTGACCGCAGGGTCGAGTTCGACTGGCGCCAACTTGTTGAAACCGTAACTGCATGGGCACATTACTGTGTCTCGAACCGGTACCCGTGCAACACCTTTGTAGTCTGTGGTGTGTTACGATCCCGTGTTAGGTTCAGGATGACAATAGGATGTTGGTGAGTACTAACTCGCTGCCAAACGCCCCCTATCACTTTGTGCATTGATTATTCTACCTTCCAAGTCAGTACACATGGCCTTGCTTAGGCAGGTGACCAGCCTCTATTACGTCTTGCTTACGTCGCACGACAGTGGAATCAGCGCTAGTACCAATATCACAGCATACTTCGTTCCGATCGCCTCGCGTTTGCGCCGTTCTCCCTGATACAATGACTGAATCCGGATGTTAAGAGTTAGTTCACTCGCTTCGCTCTCGGTTAGCGTCTATCTGCTCGATAACGTACGTGACGGTATGAATCTCAGCTGGTTACCACGAACATCGCTTCACCCTCGTCTGTGGCCAGTAGTCCTCGACCCCGTCTTCGGCGAAGATTTCGATAAAGTTTACGCCAGTGGGCTCCCCACTTTTAATTTTCTCGCGCTTTAAATAGTCTGTGAATAGCAAACCAAGTGGCGCAACAATCGCTATCACAAGTTCACCGCATAGATCCGCAATTCCAGGATAAGCTTTACATCCACTCCCTCTACTTTCTAGCTCTAGCACTCCCGCAGGACTTATTCGCAGGTACGCTGTTGGAGGCACGGCTGCAATTACGTCGCGGTAGCCTTTATTGTTTGGAAGACTTGACCTGCTTGGGCTTGTGGGGGATAGTCGGACTAGTCGCCTCTGTCGTGACGTTAAAGAATAGATGTATAACAAGTAGGTGATGTGCGGATGCAGATTTCAGAATTAAATCAAAGCGTAAAGTACTGCTTGATGGATGGATAGATTTTAATGCGAGAACAATGTTGTTCAGTCCAGTAGACCGAGACTATCAGCAGGCCTATCTCAATCCCAGTTGGGTGTGGTTTAAGTCGAATTTCGAGGCTGGTTAATTCCTCGTAGTCAGTCAGTGCTTGCGTCTCGAGTTGCCCACGCTGCTCCTGTCCCTTGAGTGTTGTTGTTGTAGTTGTTTATTCTGGATATTTAACCTACAGGCTTGAGAGCGCCAAGGGCAGGGGTCGAGATAAATAAGGTGTCCTTCATCTCTCTGATAAGGTGTGGCTTGAGTGTTTGGCCGAGCTTGCGAGGCATTTGTTTACAGTGGGGGTTCCTCTTTTTTTACGTGGGAAAGCGCGTCGTGGAGTTGCGCGTCGTCACTTCACGCCGAAGGCGCTGCAAGCTCGGCCAAGGGGAAGACTTGTAACAATTGTAGCCTGGTTTGACAGTGTTTTCACATGATGAAACGAAAATACGTACTGCATTTCATTTCGTTTCTGCGCGCGCAGTAATTTTGTGGATTACAGTATGTAAGAGTCATCTCCATACGTCAGCGGAAGGGACTGGCTCCGCAGCCAGCATCCAGATGTAGGCAGGACTCCAGCCTCTATGACTTCGTAATAATATATAGAATCCAGATGCAAAGCCGTGCGTGTTCTCTGCTCAGAACTTCTGGTCTGTTGAACTCGCTAATCGCACATTTCCCGTCAGTTAATGCCCGAGAGTGAGATGTTGAACAAATGATCAACTACTGGTAATATTACAGCAAGCGTCAAAACAAAAAACGTGCGCCCGATTTGGATGAATATCCCAGCTACATAATTGACTATTTAGGAAATTAGTGCGCTGACGCTATGTCAGATGATCACATGGTCTTCTGGGCCATTCATCCAAATCGGCGTGGTTTTTTGTCTTTGACGCCGGCCCCAGTTCGAGGCAAGCCCGAGGGACAGCAGCTCGTACAAATCTCGAGCATCCCATTAACCCAACGTTACCGACCAATGTCCCTTATCATGTAGTGGCCATCCCCTGGTGTATAGATGGAACTGCTACGATCATTGCGAGACCGCCGGTCGGCGGTTATCAAGATCGATGTTTTCTAAGACGTTTATGAGCAATTACATTACTTGAAAAATCAGGGCAGTGCCATTACGATGGCTGAGAATAGTTAGATTTGAATTTGGAACCCTCAAGAACGTACCCCCAACTTTGTGCTGCCAGCCCTTGACTTTACCTCCTCACCTCCATAACTTCTGTTGCGGACTTTACCCCCTCAGGGGCAAGCAGAGAACAAAAACGCCGATGGCGAAACACTTGTTCTTTCTCTGGGCCCTTCGTGCCCTTTTCTTCGCGACCAGCGCTCGGGTTAGTTTGGCGTGTTCGATGGACTGCCCAAGTGTGGCGGATGGGATTACGGATGACGTTGATTTCCCAATCTCCTGGACAGGCTGTGTCGTGAGTTGCATGTCTCGGCTTCGGGGAGTTCAAATGACCCTGGCTCTTTCAAACCATACACCGTATGGGCGCGTTACCGTGTCCCGAACCGGTGGCACGCAACACGTTTTGTTTTTCTGGTGCAGACCCCCATTACGGTCCAAGTTTTATTGCTACCAGGGAGTAAGATATTGATGGTGTATCAAGGCTCGGCACCCAATATTCGCTTGTGCGTGATGGGTCCTAGTATCATTCCGGGTACTTATGCTACTCGCATCGCTAGCAATGTCTATGGTTTTACAGGACGCGAGGTGTACATATTTCTAACTGACGCTGACGGGTCGAGTCTGACAAGCTCAACATATCTAGTCCGGGTTCGTAAGCTGCACATGTCCCACATTCGCGCCTTGTCTGACAAGACGTTTTTTCTCTCTCTAACTCGATACCATAGCCGAACCCAACTGATACTTCCGCGATTGCTTCCGTGCGTATGAAGACCCGGGGCGGGTGAAGCCACAGCATTTTAACGATTCGTCCTCTAGATTTCTTCGCCTTCTCCTCGACCCCCATCGGTTAGTAGCTCTCAGCTTCGTTTTCTTCGATGGAGTTTACACCGTTGGGTTCCCCACCTTTCTCACGTTTGAAATAGCCTGTGACCAGCGAGACCACGACAACACGCTCGTTCACAACCCCTTTTCCATCCAGCTCAGATACAAACACCACTTCCAGTTCACCTCCGTCATCTACCTCTCCATCTCCATCACCTTCACACAGCAGCTCTCTTTCCACCGGAGTTATAGTCGGTATTGTTGGAGGGGTATCTGCACTAGCCGCGGTGATAGCTATCATTCGGAATGTTAAGAATGGCGGGGACATCACTTTAAATCTCATTCATTGTGGCAACTGAAGTAACTGCGTTGCTCGCATGGACCCTGGACTGTGTCATTCGGACTTAGGGTAGCGATGTATTTTGCATGTGCCCCTTTATTTTTCTTGCCTCTTATTTTTCTCTCATTTTATTCTGACCGAAGGTAGGTGGTATTCGGTCCATTGGTACTTGTCGAACGATTTTCCGATTTCTTGACCGAGGGCAACTCATTCTCGATCGTCAATAGCAGAGCGTAGGGATGCCACTTATTGAAGGGATGGGGGAGGGGACATCAATACGAACAACATGTCACAAGGCAAGACCAACATAATCATTTACTGGAGGCAGTAGCCTTGAAGGAGCGGCGAAGCTCGTGGATTTGAGGTGAAGGCAACATCTTTAAACCGTTTTGTATTTATGATTTCGACCAGGGGGTTGGACGGATCGCCGATGATGTCATCCACCTTGCTCGCAAGTATTTTCGGGAATGGGTGATGGCAAGCTCTGGGTGGGGGTCCGCCTACATCCGTCCCCGGAGCGCAGGACATGCAGAATGAAGAGTCAGCATACTGTACTAACCATAAGTTCGTCGCATGTCGCACTGGATTGAATTGATTAGTTGCCTCCGGCAACTCCCGGAGGCCGTGGGAATGAACTAACGGTCGTTATACTGCCGTTTTCCATTCAATAGTCCACGTGACGAATTTCGGTTCCGCGCTCGCTCGTTGCGCGAAGGCAAGCCCGG